TTATTTTTTAACGTAGGGAATATGTCCGTATATTTTACATATAAATACATGACTTTTGCAATTTTTTTTTGGACAAACACTTTTGCAATTTAATATCACATGATAAACTTTTTTATGCACATAGCCGTTTTGATAATTAATTATCCGGTACTTATTACTAAATTAAATTCAAGTATTGCATGGTTAATTAAAAATAATTTTTTGACGTAATTTTTTTATATACAAAGTTTGAACTTTCTATCTTATTTAAAGGGTATTAAGTTCTTTCAGTCCATGCAACCTTTGTTAATTAGTACATATGGTTATCTTTTTCTCTTTTGGTTTAGATTTAATTAGTAAAGTCACTCAATTAATTTGAGTATAAATAATACCATCATTCCTTGCATTGTTAGGTGTATAGTATATAGCTACCAACAATAATTCATATACATTATTCAAATAACTAGTTTGCAAAAGGACTCCTATGTTGTATATTCAAACTTAATTGTACTGTTTTTTTTTTTTTTTTGCAAATTAATTCCAACGTAGAGGTCAAATCTATATAAAGCAAAATTTAGAGCGATTGCAATGCCCTACCAACCCCACTTTAAGCGGTGTCTTGTTCACAGAAAGTGCACATGTAGTGAGGAAGCTTAACATGGCCCAGATTTAAATGACTATATAATTAGAAATAGAAACAATATAACAAAATTGTATTATTATCTAATTAATAAATGACATAATAACAACTATATATATATATATATATATCAAGATAATATATTTACATTTTAAATCCTACGTAATGATTTTTTAGGCGGTCCATTTTAGCTTTGTGCCATGGATTATGTTTTATTGTTTAAGAGACTAAAAAAATGAAAAAAGATTTTTTTTTTTCATGTTTAATGCCAACCCCTTTGTATGGACCAAATTGGGATCCATGAACCCATCTCTCTCTCTCTCTATATATAATGAATAAAACCTTGAAAGGGTTTGAGTATCGCAAATTTAAATCCTATAAATGTTAAAATTCGCACCAAGATAGCAGGAAGAAAGTTAAGGGAGAAAAAAGAAGAAAAATATTTTTGTTGATCTTGAGACATTCATTTATCCACCTCCAATAGAATATACTCCCCCAGATTAAAATATAAGTATTTTCTCTTAATTAATTTTAATTAGGTCAAAATATAAGCAACATGATATATATAAAAAAATTTCATTTTATCCCCTATATTTATTAATTTAGATACTTGTATAAATTTATCCCTCACTCATCATAGAGTACATTGGTAATTGCCACTAGGGCAAAAAAGACAAATAATATATATGGAGTACTTTTTATAAGAATGACAATTTTATTGATATTATTGATATGTTAATTTTTTTCAAAAATTGTTTATAGTTTGGATCACAGAGAATAGTTAGCATGAGGTCAAGTGTTTTCCATGTCTTCAATGTGGAGTTGATTTTTTTTTTTTTCAATATTTCTTTCTTCTTGAACTTGTAATTCCAAAGTAACATATGTATCAAAGTATATATATATATATATATATATATATTTGATGTTAGGCTGGAATTAAGAAGATAAAGAAGGAGCAAAGGTGGGACCAAACACCTTGAAAAAGAACAAATGAAAGATGGTTTCCTGATATGTATGGATAGTGAAGCAGTGTCGTCTTACATTAGGTATGGATCGAGCGTGACAATAATTGAAGCAGTGCGAGAGGATAGGGAAGAAGAAAAACGCGAGGAATGGTCAAGACTGTGTGTGTGTGTGTGTGTGTGTGTGTTTTGGAGAAATATTATTATGAATGATTGAAAGAGAAGGTTGAGATGCAAAGATAGGAACAAGCAACAACACATTTGGTGAAACTGCTGGGGATTATGCTTCCTTCCTCGGTCAAATCATCATCTCTTCTTTTTCCCATTATCACATGTAATGCTTGCCACAAGCTCTTTCCTTTATTCCTTCCCCATACTAGAATTTTCTGGCCAAACATTATATCTTGCAAAACCTCTTCCACATTTTCTCCCATATTGATATTACTCTCTGATCTCGGTCCCTTTTTATATTTATAAAAGCCAGTTTAGTTTTAGTTTTGAGATTTACCTTTGGTCTTAATTATAAAGTGAAGAGAGAGAATTTTTTTTGTCTTACTTATAAGCTACATCATCAAATTCTTACTGTAAATTTTCTCATTTACCCACCATTATATATTAACAGAAAAAATTATGTTATTAAGACATATTTAATAGAGATAAAATTAGAACTTTATTAAATTTTTAAACAAAGTTAATGAATTTTAAAATTTTACTTGATTATAATAAAATATGTTGAGAGTGATTTATAAATAAAATTAGAAAAGTACACATATTAAAAAAAGTAGATAAATTTAGTTAGTATCCTCTTAAAAATTTTAGGCTTGTTTTTCCTATTCCACCCTCCCCTAAACGTCGACATACTTTTTCACAACTCTAAATGCCTTTTTTTTTTTTCCTAATTCAACAGTTATTAGGGGTATATATCAAAACATATAATTATTCTTAGAACCATGAAAATGACTTTCATAAAAACGAGGCTATTATTCCTTCCAAAACTTGCCCCTATAATATTTAATTATTCTTAGAACCGTGATTTTTTTTGAAAGTAAGGAAAAAATATTTTATTTTTTATAACAAATAATAAAATGATAAAAATATTTAAAAAATTCACAAAAATTCCAAGATCTTAAATTCAGAGAATTTAATCCAATGGCTGTTGCTTTCTATCACAGTTACAGATCGGAAAAAATTAAGGAGCAGAGACAAATTTTTTATTTAAATAATTTACACCTCACAATAAATTAAAACAATGATACTCCTCTCAATTCCTATTGTAAGCCACTGTCTAAAAAGGTTTTCTTGTCCTTAGTTACATGAAAGGTTGTTTATCATCATTTCTCAATTTTATCTCTATTGTAAGTTTATTTCTATAACATATCATTTACTGTGTAATTTTCTCTTTCTATTTTAATGGGGGTAAAGTTAAAAAAATCACTCTCAGGTCTTATTTTTAATATTTGGGCTTATTCAAGAGGGCTAGAATATGTTTAAAAAATTTGGATTAAGCTCAATCAGATTTACCTTAGCATGAATACTTGAATAACATTTTATTTTTTTTCAGAAATTTCATATAATATATTAAATATTAATTAATCATATAATTTTTAGTTTATTTTATACTAAAAAATCATATATTTAAGTATATTATTATAGAATTTTAAAAGATAAAAAATAATATTATTATAGTTTTTTATTATTTTTAGTCTATAAAAGTATTGAAAGATTTGACAATCAATTTTGTTATTGTTTCTTACAATGTAACAAATTAAGTTTTAAATTTTTTTAAAAAAGATGCTTATATTTTGTATACAGTTGTACTTTAAATAAGATTGCTTTCAATAAAAAGATATCTATAAATAATAAAAAAAATATAAAATTATAATTTACTTTAAAAATAAGAGAAAATTAGTCACTTGATCCCAAAATTTTGAATCATTCAAAACTTAATTACTAATTGAGTTAAAGTTTAAGGGACATAATTTTAAATTAAATATTTAAAATTGTAGTTGTTTTCTAAAAATAATTAATATTTCATTAACGTAAAAATCATGTGTCCAATCCCAAATCTTTTCGACATCGTCGCCGTGAAATGAAGCAACATCTTGGAACAACTCCCCCCCCCCCCCCCCCCCAAAAAAAAAAAAAAACCAGCTTGGAGCAGTAACCATTAGATTAAATGAAAAATAATAAATGGTGAGGACTTTCACCAGGATAATCACTAGCAGAGAAGACCCAGGAGAGATTCGGATTTCTTGAATTGAACATCAAATTTTTTTTTAAAAAAAAGAATTGATCAAAATATTTTAGTTTTTGGAAAGACAAAAAGTGAAATCTACCGCCCAAATATATGAAGCTATGCACCATCCCTTAAAAGTACCAGGCCATGCTTCCAATAAAGAGGAGGCACTTGAGAGTGAAAGTTTTTGGTCCAAAAATAGAAATAAAAATGAAATATCCCAATATAGCCAACTTGCTGATCCTCAATGCAGGAATAATTTCAATTAAAAATTATGAATGGGACTTAATTATTAATGAATCTTAAAAATATATGAAATTTTAGTTTAATTTAATATTAAAATAGAAATAATTTTAACAATAAAAAATTAAAATATCATTAACTTGTTATACAGAATCATTTGTTGTTAATTTTAAATTGACATGTCAATAATTATATAAGACTTAATATTAGTTCTTCAGTCACAAATAGCAATATTGATTATTAAATTACTAACCTAGTAATTTATAAATGATGTTAGTAAATTAATAAATAAAGTTAGTAAATTAACATCTCATGTTGTTGCTTATTTGATAAATGGATATAATTTACAACTTATAATAATAAGTTAATAAATAAAGTAAGAAAATTAATAACTAATAATTTTACATAACAATTGAATTATATTTTAATTTTTTTACTGTTAAAATTATTTTTATTTTAATTTTTTTTGAATTGAATTGAAGTTTCAAATTTTTTGAAACCCACTAATAATTAAATCTGATATATCATTCTTGAAATTCTTTCAAAATAATATATAAAATATAAAATAAATATGTGAGATAATATAATCTTTTATTTTTATAATTTTATTGGGTTTTACTTTTAATCCTCATAATTTTTTTTAATATTTTTAATCTCTTTGAAAACTAAAATTTTTGAAAAATAAAAATTATAGAAACTTAAAAAGTAAATATTATCTAATTTTTTCAACCTATATAAACTGAAAATATTAAAAAAGTTATAGAGAGTGAAAATAAAATTTAATAAAATTATAAAAATTAAGGATTGTGTTTTCCCAAAATATACAGTATTTGTATTATTTTGGCGGGTTCGTCCAGAGATTTCTTCTTGGAAGTCAGAAAGCAGTTAATATCCCTCTTGGCCCAGAGCGAGCCTAGCTGTTGTTGTCTTTGGACCCTAATGCCTCCTTGCCCATAATTCTTTTGTCCCCATTATCAATTTATCATGCTCTCTCCCTTCTACTTTCAAATTCAAAGCCACTCTCCTCAGATTTTCTTTCTCTATAGCAAGCTTGCTTTATTCCTCCAAAACCAAAACACTTGGAAGATTCACAAACAAGGAAACAAGGAGGTACACAGGGAGAGATATGAAGATCCAATGTGATGTGTGCGAGAAAATGGAAGCTTCAGTGTTCTGTGCTGCAGACGAAGCTGCTCTCTGCCATGGATGTGATTCCAGCATCCACCACGCCAACAAGCTCGCTGTCAAACACATGCGCTTCTCTCTTCACCACCCCACCTCTAAAGATTCCCCTCTCTGTGATATCTGCCAAGTACTTCCTCTCTCTCTCTCTCTCTCTATCTATCTATCCTTTCAATCCAAATCTAACAGACGAATCTGATCTTTAGAGCTCTGTTTCTGTGTTGCAGGAGAAGCGAGCGTATCTATTTTGCAAAGAAGACAGGGCAATACTATGCAGAGAATGTGACCTTAGCATCCACAGAGCCAACGAGCACACCCAGAAACACAGCAGGTTTCTTCTCACGGGCGTGAAGCTTGCTGATTCTTCCTCTGGGGATCCATCTTCATCTTCCAGCAATGTTATCGCTACTGAGCATAAGAGAGTCGATAATGGATGTCGTGGAGCAAGAAGATCGTGTCGGAATTCTAACATGAACAGCAGACCCAGATGGGATTGCAATAATAATAATAATAATGAGAATTTCAGTTCTTCAAATTCAGTAGTGAATTCTGATACTATGATTAGCGACACAGAAGCGGTTTCGACGAGCAGCTTTTCAGAATACTTGATTGAGACGATTCCTGGGTATTGCTTTGAAGACCTCATTGATTCTTCGTTTCCACCTCTCTGTAAGGTTTGCTATACACCCTGCTTCTAGCGAATGAGATAGGATTTAGGGCTTGTTTGGCAAATTTAGGGGAGATTAAGGCGCAAAAGAGCCATCACGCTGATTAATAGATGAGTTGTTTGATGCGTCACGTTTTGTTGAAAATTTAATAGATTCCTTCATTTTCTTATTCCGATAATTTTGGTTCTTTTTTTTTTAAATAGCGCAGTCAATCAGAGCTATCTTCGCAAGAACTTAACTGACAAATTCAGTCATTTAAGTTATTTATGAAGACAGAATAATAAAGAATAAGGAGTAGATTAAAATAGTACTTCCTGATAGTTAATATAAGACAAAATTTTGATTTTTTTTTAATATAAGGCAACATTCTAAAAATTATTTTTTTCCATTTTACTCTTCATTGATTTTTTGTACTTTGAATTTTTAAAAATAATTTATTATAATTATTAATTGTAAAGAAAAGTAAAATTGAAAAGTCATATTTTTTTAATAATTTTACGATATAACTGTATTTTTTAATAGAACAGAAAGATGAAAAGTCTCTTTTTATTGCCATTCCTTTGATACAGTTAAACACTGGTCTGTCCGCTCTCCTGGCAAAGAGCATTAGATTTGACATGGGTTTTAGAAGTTTTGATGATGTCTAATATGACGTTCTTACTGCAGAATCAGGATAAGCATGATCCAACGTTTGGTGATGAAGAAGAAGAAGAAGAAGAAGAAGATCTACAATTTGGAATGTGTTTATATCCAAAAGCAAAAGCTGCAGAAGAAATCTTGAAATGGAAGCAAAATGGCTTTCGATAATCTGTTAAACTGTTTTGCTCGATTTCTTCTAAGTTCTATTACGATGTCCTCTGTCCAAGTGTTTGATTTGTTAATACGTAGTTTTGTTCTTTTCTTCGTTTTCTTTCTTCCGTAATCTTTTCATTTATGTTAGTTTTCTTTTCCCTCTTCTCGTGATATTTTTATCTTTCTTTTTTTTTTTGATAAGAGATATTTTTATCCTTCTTCGGCTGAGTGAATTATACAAGTGGACATAATTCTCTCTTTGGCTCATTTATTGCCAAGTGCCAACCAATGGCTTTTATTTCAACTCCCTCATCGACACGTAAATGTTTCTAATGCCCCTCCCTTCCAAAATTCTCATTCTCACTTTTCTTGGCCTCGTTCTCATTCTTAATTTTCTTTTTTTACGTTTTTTTTAACCTCGTTCTCATTCTTACTTTGGAGTTATCCACATAAAGAAATTAATAAATAACTTAAATTTTAACAAGATGTAATTGTATTTTACTAAAATATTGTAATTTATTATAATGTCTTCATGAGTTTACTTTAATTACTGAACGGTAAATTGTCAGAAAAGTTAATTAGTACTTTCATGAAAACACACACATATATATAATCACGATTATTTGGTAAGAGAAAGAGTTAATGTGCACTCATTTTAACAAGTAAATAAATAAAAATGTGTATTTAAAAGGAAAGGAAGATAGAAAATAATGTATAAGAATAAAACAAATAATTCAATACATATACATGCACTACTATTTTTTTTTTAATAAACAAAAGTTTAGGTAAGTTAGGTTTTGAACACTCATTAACGTCAGGTATGTCTTTAGATTTAAAGAATGCTTATAGATATACTTATAAATTATCCATTAAAAAAGTTTTTGTATCAACAGTGAAATTTTAACTTATAATTTTGTAGGTTATGAGTTAAATTTTTATCAATTGTACCAACTTTTATTAGTTATGTGTACAATTATTTTAGTGCATGTAATTTAGGTTGAGCCAGTATAATGTCTTGCCATTTTGAAATAATACATCTAAGCCTTCTTTTCTTATTTATTGATTGATGATTGATAAATGAAAAAAGTACGATTCATTCAAACCCAAAAATGTAATTGAGGCACTAGATGACTATTAATTAATTAAGTAGAAGAATTCCACAGTGATTGGTTTAAGTGGAATGGACCCAACTTTTCTTAATCACTGTCTAAAGTTACATTGGTAGAACTATTTCTATTCAAGCCTTATAACATTGGAATGTGACTCTCTAGTACAAGATTATTAATTATAGATAAATATAAAAAAAAATTAAGGAGAACAATAAATGAACTAATTTTAACACTAATTTCTACAAAAGTTATAGATGTTAAAAAATTAAGGGTAAAGTAGTAAATTTAATCACGTATTATTTTTTCATGAACATCAATAGTCTAAATTATCAGATGATGCGAAATAAACTATGATCTTCCAAATACGGAGCATCTAATAGCCCGTTATTAACTTTAATGAATGTACATTATGTGGGCCAGACACGTGACACTCTTTAGCAAGTGTAAAGGTGTAAATTTAGCCATAAGCTATTTTTTGAGGGGTACTGGATAGCCTTTATTATAAAAAATAGACCATCCAATACATTTCATCAATTTTAACTAAACACAATTTATTTTTATATTTATGACACCTATAACACGTCAATCTCTCTAATCTTCTTGCATTCATTTTCAATCTCAGCTCAAGAAGAAGGGATTCAAAGAATTTTTATCTGAAGGCATCCACAAGGATGGCGCCAATAAAGGATAAGTTTAATTTTACTATGCATGAGAGAAGCTTAATTTTAGATTAATTTAGCTATGAATTATTTCTTCTACTTTGTTGGCATCGTCTTCGTGAATGTCTTCAGATAAGAACTCTTTGAACTTTTTCTTATCGAGTTGAAACTGAGAAAGAAAGCAAAAAAATTGGAGAGATTGATGCATTATAAGTCTCATATGTCTAAAAATAAATGATATTTGATGGAAAAGTGTTGGATGATCAGCTTTTTTATAATAAAGGCTACCCAGTGCTCCTCCAAAAATAATTCGTAACTAAATTTACACATTTACACATGCTGATGTAGAGTACTCATGGAGTACCATATATCATTATAGGCCTCACATAATGTTGGTCCACTAAAGTTAATAGCGAGTTATTGGGTACTCCGTTTTTGAAAGTTCGTGGTTTATTTCGCATCATCTGATAGTTTAGACTACCAGATGTTCATAAAAAAATAGTATATGACTAGATTTGTACCTTTACCCAAAAATCAAATTGAAAATTACATTCAAAAATACAAAAACCTTGATAGTACTATTTTATATAAATTACAAAGAATTAAAGTGCATTTTTTTCTATATTTTTCTTCGAGGACCGCTAGACACCTTGTATTTTCTAGATGAGCAAGAATGTCCCTTCATTAGTAATCTGTTAGTTTTGTCATTTTTTATGACATGGCATGTCCTTTAATGTTAAGTTGTTCTTGAACTTTTTTTTTAAAAGCATTAGACACTCTGCAATTTCTTTCCTTCAAGGGTTGTTGAGTGCCCTATACTAATAAGTAGGGCATTTTTTCTACTGAATCACTTTTTAGATGAGCAAAAATCTCCCTTGGTTAATAGATCACTAATGAATCACTAACAGAGAGGGATTTTTACTCATGTAGAAAATGGTTTAGGAAAAATGTTGTACTTATTAGTACAAGGTGCTTGACACTCTTTAATAATAAGAATAGAAAAAAATGCACTTTAACCCAATTATAAATTTAATTCAAAATTACAAAAATTGGAAATGGACTTATGCAATGCTCAACAATCATAAACCTCAGAAAATAGATGCATATAAAAACAAAATTATATTGCCATTGTTAAAAAAAAGCATATAAAAATAATTTAAATATCATGAATGCTGACTTTTTTTTTTTAAATAACATTCAGATAATCCAAGTCAATTGATCCAAAATTGGTGATTTGTGGGGATTGGACAACAACTAACAATATAATGGTACGTACATTGTTGAATCAACATAAAGTGTTTGAAATTGACAAGTTGTGTGGAAGAACAAAGGATTTGGGTGATTGTGATTTGTCATGGCCTGAAAAAGGGTTTACCCTCACATCTTAGTGCTATTGGGAAGGCAAATAGCAATACAAGCTTGGTTCCCAGATGATGAAAGCTCGTGGGAATAGTCTTGTTCAACTACTACCAGACTTGAGGCAAACTGACAGATAACCAACCAGTGAGAGGGACCACCAATACAGCACGGCCTCTTGCTTTGCGTTGTTTTTCTTGTACATTAATTGTAATGCTGGACCCTTAAAGGCACATGGTCCCATTTTGATGTCCATTACTTCCGCAAAGCTAAGTGTCCAGCGCGTGTTTGTATGCGCCTATATACATATTACTCCCTCCCATACTAAATATAAGAGCTAATTATTAATTTATTTAAGAAGTCAGATAAATTATTTATTTATACAAAATATGTTTTTTTAAATATTCCTGTTTAATCATTTATTTTAAATATTACCCCTTACAAAGATAATTTTTGCGATCAACATGGGTAATTTGAAAATAAATAAATGAGACAAATTAAAATCTTAGATTTAGAATTAAAATAAACCTTTGAACCAGTTCTTATATTCAAAATTGTAGAAAGTAATAAGAAGACTTGTTTGCCCATCTACTTTAATCTGTCTCTAAGTGAAAATGTAAACACTGCTTTTTAAGGAAAATTACCTGTCATCAGAACACACTAGTGAGGAAATTAGTAGCTGAACATGCACACACAAGTAAACATAAACTATGATGTAAACAAGCGAGCAACCACCCTCTCCCAAAACAAAAAAAAACAAAAACAAAAACAAACACACACACATCTCGTACGCCTCCAATTAAAAGTTCATTACAAAACACTTTAAAAATTATAACCTGCCAGATCATAATCATGGACTCCAAGCTTAGCCCTGCCACCCCATTACATGAGAAGGTTGAAAGGAAGGACATCAACTGTTTGCAGTTTGCACGAGTATTGGGATGCAGCAAGCAGCTGTAGGATGCTGATATATAACAGGTAAAGAGGGAAGTTGCAAATATAGGAAAATCATGTAGCAAGGGAAGCATATTTGGGGGGGGGGGGTTGGGAATTGAGGAGCCTGACTACCCTTATACGCAGAAAATGACATGAGGAAGATGAAACACAAAATTCTGCCCTAATACGTAGAAGAAATTAAATTACAAGTATGCATTACAGCAGTGTCATTCACACCCTTTCTTTTCCTTTCTTCTTCTTCTTCTTTTACATTCTTTTATTTCCACTCGCCTCTCCCTATTATACACAGTTCCCCAGGGGTAGAATAAAAAGGAATAAGATGTTGAAATACCTTTTGAACTGTTTTACAAACAGCGAAATTAATGAAAGAATTACACCTGTAATTGAAAATGTTGTATTTTCTCAGCGGGAGAACCCTGCAAAAAATGAAGCCCCAAATTTTTATGCCTGTATTACATGATTTGAATATAGTTCACGGCAAAAGTATCCCAGAATAGTTTGCAATACCTTTCGAAAGGATCAGGAGGTATAAGCAAAGAGTCTATCTGCAATACTTGTCCGGCATATTGGACACTCAGAACAAGCAAGTGAACATGATTCACACACTGCAAATGGACACAATTATTAGATAATTTATGATGAAAGTCTGAAGGAAAATGGCCAAAAACATGCAAAGGATGATGGTTTAGAGAAACTAGATAAAGGCTTACAACAGAAGTGCCGGCAAGGGAGAAGAACTGCTGCCGTTGGCGATTCAAAGCATACTTTACAAACATGGGAATTGGCGTCTCCGTTCCCAAGGTAGTTAAGTTCTTTTTCTTTCATCTCTTGCATGCGTGCCTGAGACCATATAGTACAGACCCAAAACAATCTATTAGTAACACTAATCGTAGGAAATTGAACACATCATATCATGAAATGTACGGATAACTGCACCAGCATTGTTACCTTGAGACGAACAACAAGGGATTCATCCTTGGGAACATCTGATTTCAGCACATCCGAGACCTGCTCCATGGGGACATTATTACTTCCAATGTCGTTATTTTCTGGACCATTAATAATGTTTTCTGCGCCATCACCATTTTGTTCATCAATGTTTGACTCAAGGACGGAACCTCCTTCTTTCTTGAACTTTGCAACAAGAACCCACATATTTGCTAAATCAT